CAGGATGGTCAGGATGACCGGGACCTTGCCAGCGTTCCTGCTGTTTCACATTTTGATCTCCGCTGTCTGCTGAGCGTCAGCCAGAGAGTCAGTTTATCAGGGTTTTATTGTTGCCCCATATACATCAGTTCTTTAAAAAAAAAATTTAAAAAAATTAAAGTGCTGACAACGAGCAGAGCTCAGCGCTGTCACTGTTAGCATCCCCCAATAGAGCTGAGACATGCAGGAAGCGCCACGCCCCTTCTCTGTTTGCTTTGGCAGATCCTGCTGCCTCTTAGGAAGTATCACTTTGTCATTTAGCCCAACCAGATTCATATGCAGGGTGCACAAAGCCTCAGCTTGAGTTATGGCTTTATCCATGACCAAAATGTCTTTAAAGATTTAAGAGGGACGAACTTCTACTTTGTAATTATCTGCTGTTTATGTGTCTGACTCCACTGGGTTCCTAATAAAAGCCATATAGATGCTACCAGTGTGATGTTATGTGGCAGGGAGAGTAATGTCTTTACAGGGTTATGTTTCCCCAGAGATTTTTATAAGTAAATACACATGCAGTATGAAAGAACGCTCCAGCCATTTCTGTGATGTTGACAAGTGGTTTATTCAGCAGGAATGGTGAACAGTTTGTCAGTATTTTTATTTTTTTTTTGTCTACAGAAGGCAATCAAGCACCATGAATAACAGCGCTCCAATCAGACAGTTGTTTTGGACAGTGACTTTCAGGAAATTGTATCATCTCGTATAACACCTCATATAATCATTAATGACTCACACGCTCCCATGATCCAGGCTTTATTGATCATCGCATACCACTGACAAACTGGAATGTTTCATTCATTGTGTGAAGATGGTTGCTGCAGCTTCTGTTTTTTAATGCACAAACTGTATTTCAGGTACCAGAAACATAGTGTGACGGGTGTACTGTTGTTGTAGTGAAATTGAGACAGTGATACCATCATTTGATATTTAATGAACAGCTCATTGGTTTCATTCATGATACAATAATGGTGAGTGAGGCTTCACTTTAATCAAAAAGTCTTTGGTTTATACCATTTATCTGAAGATCTGGGAGGACCAGAGCTGTTCTCCAGCCAGCTTCCTATTTCATTTCTGCTGCCAGGTTGACTAATAAGACAGTTTGCTTAGAATAAACACTAAAGAATATAGCAAATCCACATTATACAACCTTTTTAGAAACAAAAACACACTTTTAAATTAATCTGTGAAAATAAGTTTTAATTGAGAATTGATAACGAATGTTTTGGACAAGATAAATTAAACTCCTGGGTTACTCTTAAAGCCAGACAATGCAATCTTAGTTCAGTTCTCAACATGGGCTAATTTCATTTTTAACTGTAGCTTAAATATGAAGCCAGGTTCAGTAGCCCGTTAAGCTGGGCTTACACTGTGCGATTTTTGGCCCATTTTGAGCCGATTTTTGAGTCGTGCGCCCGTTTTGGTGATCGGCCCGATTTTGGCCTTTATCGTCCGTCGTGGATCGTGTAGTATACGTTGAGTAACGAGAAGCGATTAACACCTCACGACCAGCTCCCGATCATCAATCGCTTGGTCGTGAGGATTTCAAACCGATTTGAAATCCTCCCGACCGTTGTGAGGGTATCACCGCAGCCGCTCACACTGCGCACACGCAAACACATAAATGTCGGTGAAAAAGACGGAGTAGCACGGCAGTGCAGCGTGTGAGCTGAACACAAGCGATGGAGGCACTTGTAGAACTTTGGAAAGCTCATCCGAGCCTTTTTGATGTGGCCTCACAAAATTATCACGACCACAACAACCGTGAAAATAGTTGGATCTACACTGCTGCTCAATCACAGCTGATCAATGTTTTTCATTAGCAATTTAGCAAAGTTGATGGTGGCGGTGCATGTCTGTGTGAGTGAAAGACAGAGGGAGAGCGAGCGACAGAATTTCTGTTATAACCTTCATTTTATGGACGCACAGTGTGAGCACTCAGGTCGCATCAGAGCATCGGGCCGTAGTGTGAGACCCTGCATCGTGACCGACGAACTTCTAACCTCTACGAGTCAATCGTGCAGTTTGAGCAGGAGCTGAATAACGCGACTGAAAAAAATCGCACAACGTAAGCCCAGTTTTAGTTTAGCTTAGCAATGTTAGCTAGGAACAGGGAACAGCTGCCTTGGCTCTGCCCAGAGGGTTTTATTTATTTATTTTTTAAAGCTCCTCTAAAGCTCAGAATCTTGTTTATCTAATCTTTAAAAATTGAGGTGAAATAACACACAGGATTCACGTCCTGTGTTAATCTGTTAGCTTTAGGATTGCTAGTGGGCGGATTACATTGAGTACACGTAGTCAGCAAGCTAAGCTAACTGGCTAAATAAAAAATGTAGAGACAAACCACAAGTAATAATTCAGCCCTACATTTATTTTGTGGGAAGATCACTTCTTTTCTGTCGCGACTGTTAGCACCAACAGACTAAATAATGGAGAAGTGTGTTAAAGGCAATTAGCCAGGAGTGGGAACGGGAAGAATGGGAAAACGGCAATTATGGCTGTATTTTTCTAAGCTCTGCTGAACCACTGTGTTAAAGTTATAAAGTTAATATATCTGCAAATGGCTTTGCTAGTTTTCTAATAGCTTAAAAAAAACAAAAAACAAAAAAACAAAGATAAAAATAATCCTCTGGGGTTTTTAAAAAAATCTGGAGTTTTGAGACAGCAGCAGGAATTTTATTAACATTTCAAGTACAACTTGTGTTTGTTTCCCCATGCTAATGGAGTAGTTTTCAGAAGAGCTCACAATCTCTGTGAAGCAGCTCTTTAATTTTAGTTAAATAGAATAAAATATTGAACTTTATGCCATTATATTCCATGTTGACAGGCACAGGTCCGACTCAAAGATATTTTTTTTCAATGACCCTAATCCTTCACTGTATGTCATAACCATTTTAGTCTTATCTGCTGAAGCCAGTGAACCTGTATCTGGATAAATCTGCAGGTGTAAGTTATTATCAGAAAATTGTTTTTTTAAATATACTAAGGCAGACATGTTGGCTTACAATTTTTAGATGATGTGGTTTGTTGGTAGTTGAACTGTGATTTTCAAAATGCTGCGAACTTTAAATGTTGTCAGTTACTTTGGAACCGACTCTGAGTAATAGTTAATTAAATCTATAAATAATAATTACATTGGCTAACCAACACTCATAGGCATAGGCAACCAGATGCCAAAGCAGAAGAGGTTTAAACCTGCATTCTTTTCAAATGCTACCAGAGGGTGACTCCTGCAGATTCAAAATTACTTTCTGTCCTATATAAATTTGTGTGGTTTCAAAGTTCATCTTTTCTGGTTTCAAAGCATCAAGAATGGTAAAAAAAAAAAAAAAAGAAAGAAAGAAAAGGAAAAAAAAAGGAATAAATAAATAAATCAGCTCAAGACCTCAACAGGATTTCTCAAACTAGTGGCTGACTTCACAGTGCCCATCTTATATATTGTCAATGTACTCAGGTTTGGGTGAGTCCTTAGTTGTGAGCCCAGTAAGACTGAGGACCATATAATCAATAAAAATGTTATTAGGTAAGAGCGTGTCAACTAAACTATCGACCAGTCAACTCTGAGTCCACAGCCCTACTTTTGTAGGGTTCGTCACCCCGTCTCTATGAGAGTAGCAACGACCTCTTTTTATTTATGTCATTAAATTAAAGATCCAGATTCTAAATATGTTACTGAAATGGGTACATTTGGGATTTTTGTTGGATGTATGCTGATTATCTACTGTTTGACAAAGGTTGCATTGTCTTGTTTTAAGTAATTTCAATAGCTGGTACTTTGACTTCCAGTTAGGTGAATTATCACCAACACACACATCTGGACAGACAAAAGTACACGATGACTTTTTACAATCTTAATACAATTGGAAGAATCATTGTTCACAGTTCTTTTGTCAAGTTATTTGGCATAAGGGATCTATATTGAGAAAATAATTTAAAACAGTAGAAAAAATAGCATTTTGCCTTCTTGGGAACACAACATGGTATATTCATTTCCTTTTTTTTTCTTTTTCTTTTTTTTTAATTCTTCATGCATTCACAGATTTCACACAGATACATTTACTCGCTTAGACTACTACCTTATTGAAACAGCTTACAAATAAAAACACTATTAAAATGGTGGCCACAAGGCTGTGCAAAAGGGAAGACCTCCAATGTAAGCCCTGCCATCAGTCTCTTAGCCATCTCTTGCAAGTAACAAACTACAAAATAGCACCATTATACAGTGGATAGGATTCTTAATACAGTTTTGTTATATGAAACCATCATGTACAATGAATGATAGTAATGCATAGGTTAACATAATGGGAATACTGTTTGATTATACACAGGCAGAGGAGACAGAGCCAGAGATGAGTCGTCTTGGGCAATTATTATTTTTTTCTTATCGTGTTTTTTTTTTTTTTTTTTTTTTTTTTTTTTTTTTTT